TACTGTAACATCTCTTACACACAGTGGAATTGCTTAGATATAATTGTTTGGTAAATGACTAAACTTCAATTGAGGAAGAGAGAAACATTTCTGACGTTAACAGGAAATGATTGTACTGCCTTGTAATGCAATGTTAGGAATAGTTAGATTATGTAATTTTGAGGTGTGACAGAAGAATGAACCTTTCACACCCCTGCCCTCTACAAACACGTAGGACCGGATCAACCTCCACTCCACTTGATCTGTGCAGTATCAGCGAGCTGCCAGCAGAGAGCAAACAAGACTACTGCTTACCCTGTAGGCAGTTGAAACACCATGCAATTTCCATGGAATCTACAAAATCTACAGAATACCCACTTTATACAAATGAACTAGTTACATTTACGGTCAGTCAGTAAGTTAAAGTTAAATACCCCATTGCTATGAACGTTATGTGTTAGATGCGAATGTGCTAACCATTAAAGCACACTATAAACTGGAATACAAGGGGCCTTAAGGTGGCCCCAATTGAACTTATGTCGAAATCTAGTTTGACTTCATTAAATGTTTCAGGTGGTAATATACTCACATGTTTCATATTTCTAAATAAATATGTGTGTAGTCAAATAATCATAAAACTAACAACATCACACCAGGGGCTGATTATTCACGAGGCAGAACACTGGTTAGTATCTGGGGGTCCCAAATGGGGCTCAACAGGGGCCCACAGCTCATTTTTGCCCTATGGCCCCATGGTGGGTTTATCTGGCCCTGAATCTGATTTTACTTAACGAGATAAAGATACCCATTCTTCAGAGAAACTTGTAGAGACTTGTTTTCTATGTCACTGGGAAAATTATGTGCTTTGGGTGAAGGTGAGATTTTTTTCAGGCACTTGTTAGCATGTAGTTACTGAGAACACAAAAAGCTAAAGAGGGGTTTTGCAGAAAACAACAGCAGTCAATAGTAAAACAATTAATCTGCCTTTATTTGCGATATATATATATATATATTATATTCTCTTTTCAGACTGACCGGTTATTTTAAAATAATGACCCACTATGCCTAACAGTGTTCACTTCAGGATCGCCATCATCCAAAGGTCATGGCCATATTAGTGAGGGTGACTTCAATTCCACCCTAACCATACTGTGCTACTCAAAGGATCTGTGACTCTCCATGCAATCTAGGGTATTTTCTTTGACGTAATCCACTTATTCCTTGCCTCCACAAGAATACAAATGCTGCCCCCGTGTGGCTAAAAAGACAAGAACCCACAAAATGAGTTAAGCAGCCATTTAATCTTTTTAATAACTTCACATTCAACTGAAGACTAAACACGATCATAACTATCATGTACTTTTGCTCTTGTCGTGATTTTAGACAGTTTATATTTATTTATTAATTGGATTGGCAAATTGGATTTGCATTCAGCTTGACCTGAAGCCAAGCCAAGGGTTCACTGGAAAGGTTATCAGGTCATTGAGCGGAGGTGTTAAGTGAAAAAGCCTCTCACACACAAACAAGTGAGCAAGAAGCCTTTAAAGGCACAGCAGGCTGTTTGTTCGTTCAGAAGCATCAGAGAGAGGAGCACTGCATAAACTGGCTAAAACGAAAATTACTCTAATGAATCTGATTCATGGATTTTACTTTTACAAAGAAAAAAGAGACACCTGCAGGAACTCAAATGTATGTTTTGAATATGGGACAAGCATATATGTAAAATCTTTTTTCCAGAGTTTTTAAAAAATTTTTTTTTACAGAATTAAGATCGACATGACAAATGCAGCTACCGTGCAGGACATGTGTGCAACATATGAACACATGCATCAACTTAGAGTAGACATTGTTTGCAAAGAATGACATCACTGAAACTAGATTCCCCACTTACACCAATTATACCTGACATGCTCTTCTTCACATCTTCCTCTGTCTCTTTGCTTGTCGCTCTAGTTTCATGAGAAGGTCTGGTAGTTGTGTGCCACTGGAAAAGCACAAAAATTAACTGCTGTAAAAAAAAAAAGAAAAAAAGAAAGAAAGAACAAAAATGTACTCCACATAGCGAAAATGTAAATATTAGTTCTAATTTTGATTTAGAAAGATTTTCTATGCTTAAAAACAACAGCATCTGCAGCTTTTTCAAATATTCACTGTGTTTACTTACTACAATAAAATAATGATTCTTTTGTTCTTCTTTATGATTTTATTATGCTACATACTGATTAATACAGTAAACCCCCAAAAGAACACATAACTGCCTTTGTTTTTTATGTTTTCATGCCAGTGTATTGGATGCCAGTAAAATTTTGCCTTCATGACCCCACAATGTCTTTATTTATGTAGTACCTACACTACATTGTACCATGAGATAGTAAAAAGAATGAAACCTTGGGGTATAACAGTCATCTTCAAGATCAAGCATACAGCACTTTTTCTAACATTTTGCTACATGCCCCTTTCATGCCCAGATGAACGCTCCTTAATATGTGGTAAATTGCAATGGGAAAAGTAATTAAATAAAAGAAAAAATATATAATAATAATAATAAAGAAAACTTGATAGTGCTCTTCTAGTGCCCTTCTAGTGGAGAAAACATGATAGTGCTCTTTTAGTGCCCTTCCAGTGGAGAAAACATGATAGTGCTCTTTTAGTGCCCTTCCAGTGGAGAAAACTTGATAGTGCTCTTTTAGTGCCCTTCCAGTGGAGAAAACATGATAGTGCTCTTCTAGTGCCCTTCCAGTGGAGAAAACATGATAGTGCTCTTCTAGTGCCCTTCCAGTGGAGAAAACATGATAGTGCTCTTTTAGTGCCCTTCCAGTAGAGAAAACATGATAGTGCTCTTTTAGTGCCCTTCCAGTGGAGAAAACATGATAGTGCTCTTTTAGTGCCCTTCCAGTGGAGAAAACTTGATTGTGCTCTTTTAGTGCCCTTCCAGTGGAGAAAACATGATAGTGCTCTTCTAGTGCCCTTCCAGTGGAGAAAACATGATAGTCCTCTTTTAGTGCCCTTCCAGTGGAGAAAACTTGATTGTGCTCTTTTAGTGCCCTTCCAGTGGAGAAAACATGATAGTGCTCTTCTAGTGCCCTTCCAGTGGAGAAAACATGATAGTGCTCTTCTAGTGCCCTTCCAGTGGAGAAAACATGATAGTGCTCTTTTAGTGCCCTTCCAGTGGAGAAAACTTGATAGTGCTCTTTTAGTGCCCTTCCAGTAGAGAAAACATGATAGTGCTCTTTTAGTGCCCTTCCAGTGGAGAAAACATGATAGTGCTCTTTTAGTGCCCTTCCAGTGGAGAAAACATGATAGTGCTCTTTTAGTGCCCTTCCAGTGGAGAAAACTTGATAGTGCTCTTTTAGTGCCCTTCCAGTAGAGAAAACATGATAGTGCTCTTTTAGTGCCCTTCCAGTGGAGAAAACATGATAGTGCTCTTTTAGTGCCCTTCCAGTGGAGAAAACATGATAGTGCTCTTTTAGTGCCCTTCCAGTGGAGAAAACTTGATAGTGCTCTTTTAGTGCCCTTCCAGTAGAGAAAACATGATAGTGCTCTTTTAGTGCCCTTCCAGTGGAGAAAACTTGATAGTGCTCTTTTAGTGCCCTTCCAGTGGAGAAAACTTGATTGTGCTCTTTTAGTGCCCTTCCAGTGGAGAAAACATGATAGTGCTCTTTTAGTGCCCTTCCAGTAGAGAAAACATGATAGTGCTCTTTTAGTGCCCTTCCAGTGGAGAAAACATGATAGTGCTCTTTTAGTGCCCTTCCAGTGGAGAAAACTTGATTGTGCTCTTTCAGTGCCCTTCCAGTGGAGAAAACATTATCCAGTGCACTAATAGATGCCCTACTAGTGGAAAAAACACAATACAGTGCCATATAAGCTGCCCTATATGCTGGAAAAGTAGTTGGCCTCCACATGCTCCTACATGTGAGACAATATGCCCTCATTAAGCCTCTATATTTGAAAATGCCCATGCCTAAGTCTACCACTGACCAAATATAAAAGAATAATGCTACTTACACAAATATCCTTCAGTAATAATACGTAATTATTCCATCCATCCACCCATCGTCAACCGCTTATCCTGTGTACAGGGTCGCGGGGGGCTGGAGCCAATCCCAGCTGACATCAGGCGAAAGGCGGGGTACACCCTAACAGGTCACCAGTCCATCGCAGGGCCACACATAGACAAACAACCAGTCACACTCACACCTAAGAACAATTTAGGGTCACCGATCAATCTAGTCCTCATGTCATTGTATGGTGGGAGGAAGCCGGAGCACCCGGAGAAAGCCCACAAGACACAGGCAGAACATGCAAACTCCACACAGAAAGGCCGGGGCAACCGGGGTTTGAACCCACAACCTTCTTGCTGTGAGGCAACAGTGATGATAATACTTATATCATTACAACATCGCTTCAATTTCCCCCTATCAAAATTGTGGCCTGATATTTATTTCCTTCTAAATACAGACAGTACTAATACACTATTTTACATGGCACATTTTACCTGTAGCTTAACCATGGCAGGAAAAGCACAAGTCTAACTAATCAACTAATTACCAATGGCTCCAGAGTCCGGGCTAGGCATTTCACAAGGGACAGCACCTCATTGTAATACAAAACAATATGTTATAAATTACACCTGTACTTGTCATCTATGACAAATTTCTGTTGTGGAAAATGTCAGTGGATTGAGTATTTAAAGGAGTAAACTTGAACTTCAATACAAGTAGGGTTTTAAAAACACAACACAACACAACAACCTCAGCTAAAGTAGAGAACACAATGGCAGCATATCCACTTGATCAAAATCAGGGGCTGGTTTGCGAAACTGCACATATTTTTTTCTGCGTAAGACGTTTTTTTTAGTTAGTACATTTATTACACTGACATGAAAAGAGGAAGTAAACAGACCAGATAATGTGGCTTTAACTCTCTGCCCTCCTCCTCATGAGAATAGTATGACATCACTCAGCATTACAGCCAATCAGAGGGCAATACGCTCCAGCCGGAGGAGCACTCTGTGTGTTCGTGTAGCTGGTGTGCATTTGGTTGTGTGTATGTGTGTGGGTGTGCGTGTGTGCGTGTCTGAATGCGAACAAGTTGATATTGTTATTTTTTTTTTGTAATTTTTCCAAACATATTTGAATTAAGCTCTGGAAGTAAGCCGGAGTTACGGCGAGTGAGGCATTTTTCAGAGCCGCCCGAGGGAAAGAAAAAGACTTTCCACCACAGCGGAGACTAATGAACTCGAAAATAACAAGTTTGCTACGTACTACCTTTGAAAACAAGCCACATCTACGCAGTTTAACGGATTTCGGTGTATCATTTTTTTTCGACACAAGCTAACTTGAAGCTAGAGTGTGCAGCTGCTCACGCTTCTGTTTTTTTTTGTGTGTGTGTTTGGCAGTTTGCAGTCAAGTGATAGTCCCGTGTGCCTTCTTATAAATGCTTATATAAAGTTGCTCATGTTAGCTAATGAAGTCGTAGTCAACGTCACATAAGAAACAGTAATAAGAGCGTAATTGTGGGGGATAAGCCATAAGCCACTCAGAGAAAAAATGCTAAAGACGCTGACTAAGAAGCTAAGAAGACATTCACTCAATGAAATACATCCTTTCCAACTGAAGGTAAGTTTGAGTTACTCACTGTTGGAATACTATTACTGTTGTAACATTGTTTTAAAACATAGGTTGTAGTTGCCAGTACATACGTCAGTGCACTAAAATACACTGTACAGTACAGCTTAGAAGAAATGAGCTTGTTTGCGAACAGCGTGGCTTTACTTTCGTCTTGTGACTTGCTCATTTGTAGGCCATTTGACCACGCACCTTAAACACTATTTAACTGCCTGTAACCTTGTTTGAACGGGGTTACAATGAGTTCAGCAGCTCCCTTTCTCTTTCTCTTTCATGCGCGCGCACACACACACACACACACACACACACACACACACACACACACACAGTCACACACAGTCACACACACAGTCACACACCACGAGACTGACGACACACCGCACAGCTCCTCTGTGGAAATGGTCAGCCTGTGTGTTCTGATATCCTTAGCGTGTGGTGTGTGTGTGTGTGTGTGGGGGGGGGTATTTTCCACTTCTGGGCCCATTCATTAGCACAACTATGTTAGGAGGAATTTACTGTTCTGTGGCTTACAGGACCAAGCCAGATGTTTACAAGAAGAAACCAGGAGATCCACGCTGCTAAACAAGCACATCAGCAAATATGTTGGCATGTCAACAAACTCTCCTACTCACAGATGGACACTCCTGACCGTTTGTCATTTGAGAAAGTAAATCAAAAGAATAGTGTGTCCACCCTCCTTGTCCAGAGTTCTCTTGAGTGTAAGGGAGGATAATGCGTTTTGAGGATCACGTTCGTAGCTGAGAAACTAGTCTTGGTTCTTCATCCAGGCTGTAATTTCCGTGTGGAAATAGCTGTGTGTGTGGTGGGCAAGGGGCTGGCAGTGGAAGCTCATTTAGATGCATGCAAAGGCTAGAAAGCTGCTATTGTCCTGACATTTACATCTGTACCCTCCAATTTTCCACAAAATAATCCATGTAAGTGGCCCTCTTTTTGGTGAGTAAGAGGGGTGAATTGTATTCTGCATGGGTCACTAACTTGCTCCATCCACAACAATATTGTGCATCAACCAACTGTACAGTTGCATGGCAGCCATTTTGTGCCAAAGTGCTTCCGATCAAAGGCCTGAAAGTGTGCCGTGGGTGTTGTTTACTTTTGTTTGTGTTTGTTGCTCTGCTCACTGGTGGGAGCTACTCCAGGGGTTTATAGTGCATTTCCACAAAGTTGGGGGACATGTGAAAGACACCCTAACACAAGAATGGTTAAAAATGATCCAACATATACAGTATCTATAATCCCCAATATGGGTGTAGCAAAATCCACTTTGGTAATGCGGGATTTTTGTCATACCTGTAGTGTTATTTGTAGCCCTCTAACCATGATGACACCATTAGGGTTGCTTTCATATGGACTCAGAGCCACAGAAGACATTTTGCAGCTATTTATACAGACTGAATAGCACTCCTTTTGACAAGTAAATGAATTTTCATGTTTCCTTTTTTTTAAGTTTAACTAAAAGTGTTAAGGGTCATATTTGTAAAACATAGTTAATTGCAGGTTTGCTGTTGTTGTGAATGTCAGCCAACCAAGTGCCTGCCTCCAGGAAACAGCCACAGATGACCGGAGCGTGAACCCTGTTTTAAGTCCACGTTTTCATTAGTGCTAAAAATCCATTGTTTTGAATAAAGATTAATAAAGCAGAATTCTGATTCTGGTGGATTTAGTCTGAGGATTTGTTGCAGCATTATTATTTTTATTTATTATTACTTTTTCACAAGTTACTCAGATAATATTTGAGTTCGAAGTGTGCTGCTGCAGCGCTCACTAGGTGATTGAGGGCTGAATGGCCATTTCAGGACAGTTTAAAAGAGGCTAAATGTCTCTCAGACCGTGTTACAGTACCTATTTCAGAATCTTCTAAACACTAATCACGAGTACTTATGCGACACTATGGGGAAGATCCACTGGAGTGCGAGAGAAAGAGAATCAACCATCTCTGGCCCTTTTGTTGTGTGTTTTCATGAGAGGGGGAATGGGGTGTGACAGTGTCCATGTCAGTGTCGCAGGACAGAGCAAAGCTGATATGTGTGTGAACTTGGTGGTGTGTGTACGCTGTGTGACATTGCCATTGATCCAGCTTAGCAAGCTGCTCAGCGATGCAAGGGACTGACAAGGATTTCATTCAACTGTTCTTGACACAGAAACACACAATTCTTTGTCTGTCTTTGCATGTATGCACAAAAGCAGTTTTTTTTATGTTTTATTCATGCAGTGTCACTTATGTGTCCCAGCTGCCTTAATGGTCACTGGTACAAGACAATATATATTAAAAAAAATGTTAATCACAATTCCAATTCATATAAACCTGCCAATTTATGAGAGCTGACATGTCATTTTGTCGCCCTGTCACTTTTTACACATGTCTTCTGAAAATTATCTCTAGAAACTTGTGCGCAGCAAATAATTGATTGACAGTTGATAAGTTTGATATTCTAATTCATGCAGAAATGTGCTAATATGTTAAAGACTGTACTGTGTATTGCATTGCATTATTGCAGATTAGCATATACCTTTTTAAGGATTTTAAACACAAATACAGTACAGTTTTTTGGTCAGGTCTCAGACTTCTAAATGGAGCTCTTCAGTAAACTTTATTGACACTTCACAAGAGTGATTAAAAAGATGGAAAGAGTGGCCTAGCCAGTGTGGTGCAGATGTTCTCAGGTGCACCGCAGGGCCACAGTGCTTTCATGGCTGTTCAGTAGGTGGACAAGATGCTGACAGTGACTTGAATATAATGTTTGAATGATGTAGTCATTCAGAGTTAATATTTGTTGAAGCTATTAGAGATACTTCTAGTACACTAATGTGGAAGCTGCACCAGAGCCTCATTTAGCTTTTTAAATGTCATTTTCACACTTGTTTTCAACAGGCCTTCTCACCATGCTTTGTTTTTAGTGTGACTTTGATGCTATGACTAATAAGCCTGTGGGGATGGTTGGCCTTGATTGAATATCTGATTGAGATATATTTGTGTGCTTCATGTATACATTGTGTCCTCTCTCCTTTGCATGTAGCTTCCTATCTTGTAGCGTAAACACAAATGGAGTACAAATGGGTCTGTTGCATTGAGTAGTTCTTTTGCACAAATACTTGTCTTGTGGGGTGAGGTGGCAGCTTACAACAGTGAATGTTCTCGAAAAACTTCTGGAAAGGCAGTATCGATGCTTAGCTGCAGGGATTATAGAATGAGGCAGCCTATCCAGGTTGGAGTAGTGTAAGCCAGGCTTAACCACAATATTATACAGCAGCTGACAATAAAGAATGAACAACTGGAAGTGACAAGAAACAACAATAATAATAATATTAATAAAATTGTGTATTTCAGGTGAAATGACAAAAAATCCACATTTTGTAGCTGGAATGATGAGTATGTTGGTGAAACCCTGTTATTCCTTTTCTTTTGGGAAAGCCCTGCCATCCTATCAAACCATAAACTGAATGTCACTTATGCGGCATTCAGACCAACCGCGAATTTCTCCTCGCGACGTTTTCCTCGCGTGAGTACATTCGCTGCAAGTGTTCACACACAATGCGAGAAGGCGATTTTAACACGATAAGGTGAATAAACACAACTAACACAATTACTACAACTGTATGAACCCAAAGTAAACATTTTGCTGTGATTAAATAGCAATAAACGGATTAAACTGATGCCGAAATAACTACAACATGATGCAGATTTGTTAAACATATGAATTCATGCTTTGTCAGGCCTGTCAGCTAGACAGCAGGACAACAACTTCTAAAATGTTTGTTTGTCAGGGCTATGCTATACTAACTTGGTCACAGTAAAGTACAATGATAGCTGGAATAAAGTTACAGACACATGTTTTCTGAACTCACCTGGTACTCAGCGCCATGCGACTTTCTCGCTTCAGTTGAAAATACTCAACTCACACGAATTCCTTCGCGTCGCCGGCCCCGCCCCCCTATGCATTGCTTCGCGCTGCCCGACAGGAAATTGCAGCTCTAGGCGTCTTTACATTGACTTTGTATGCAAACTCACTGCCCCAAACGCTCGCTTCGCTTTTGGTCTGAAAGCACCATTAGGCAGAGTCCAGTATTTGTTGTAGCGAGCTATGACAAAGCAATAACCATATCAAATGTGGTTCACTGAAAAGCACAAGGTTTTCAGAATCAGATTATTGCCAAACGTAGGTTTACATAAACATAGAATTTGCTATGGTATTTTCGTGCATACCAATATAAATGTAGTATGTAGCAAGTATAAAGAAAGATAAAGCAAGTCAAGAAGCAAATAGAATATTGACAGTAAGATATGATAAAATACTGTTATTCTATTAAAAGAGCTGTACAATATGTGCAGGAATGTGCAAAATATTTACCAGAGAATTTGCAGAAGTTCATAGTGTGAAATATAAGAGTATTTGCAATGTAGAAGATATGAGTTAATGCAACAATGCAGTGTTAATGTAAAATGTTTATTGCTGTCTCACAGGCTCTCTGCATGAAACACAGATGCCATTTGTAACAACAATTCCTTACTGATATCAGATAACTGTGATCAAATGTTATGACCATTCACACTTGACTGGGGATTTAAAACAGTATTGGGAGTGAAACTTATTCAAATACTTGTACATGCACTCAGTCCCGGGTTTGCGTTGGCGGACCTGCTTTGTAAAGCAGTAATTTCTCACATAGTGTATGAGCTAAAAAGAGGTGGTTAGTGCTACAGGGATAAACTGTGTATCCGTGAAGTAGAAGGCTGTCGTGTCAGGTCTTGGTCCAACGCACTGTATTACAGCATATTGCGACAGAGCATGAAATGCAATAACAAGTTTTGTACTTAATTGTTAAACCTCAGCCCAAATCCTACACCTGTGCTACATTTCTGTTGTTCTCTGATCTATCAACAACAACCTCTGAGGCGGTTCCTAAGAGAAAGGCCAAAATTGAGCTTGTATTTGCCTCTAGTTGCACAGACAGTGATTGCTCTGTGGAGAAACTTAAGACTTTGCACAAAAATTGAAGCTGCTAACTCTGTAGCTTTAAATGGTAAAATATCCAAGGAAAAAAACGAGTATATGATCCTGGTGATCTCACTGAGCGTGAATACAGATTCAAAGGTCTCAGACTAAAGTCAAGTCTCTTCTGAGTACAATTAAGACATGACGTTTATGAACCACCATCATCACTTCATTCTTAGAATCCTGCAGCAGTGACTTTTAATAGGTTTTCAGCTGTTTCGTGGATGCTGCCCAACAATAATTCACTGGAGTGTACGGTGTAGCTGAAGCCCTGAGCCAAAATACATTTCCCTTCCCACAGTTATTCCTCAGTGCAATTTTCCTATGGAGTTCATCAAGTGACGCTGTTTAACTTGAGAGCCAAGTTTTTTTTGTCTTGTGCGCTGGCTCTGGGCCTGTTCATTGAGAATCTGTCCCACAGCTCGTATACCATTGAAAAGCAAGACTGCAATCAGGCCATATCCAAATAGCTTCAACAACAGAGTCAATACTGTGATCATAGCTCGAAATTAATTAAGTTACGTGTATGTCCTATTTGATATTTCACTTCAGTACTATGCTGGACCACAAATCTGTATGGGAAGCTTTTTGGGTATATATATTCTGATGTAAGTTAGTCATGCCAAAGTATGCTATTTTTCTTTACTTATCTTTAGTTGCAAACCATAAACTCTACTGAACATACTATGCTGAATATGTATATTAAACTTAACATATAGGATCCTATTAAAATATGTGTTCATTTCAGTAAACCTTATATCTCAGCTACAGTGTAGTTGGAAATGTTTTTAAATTTGAATACACAGCAATGTGACATAGCAAAGAACTTGCCATTTAAAATTTAAAAAAGCAACATACAGCATTGTTCAGTAGCCTTTTGGTTTTTATTCTACTGAAATGCACAGTGAACAGTCTATGAAATTATACATGGAATTCACACTTAACACAAAATGAATACTGTCTGCCCTCGCTGGGCTCAGAGGCCTTGGCTCCTTTCTCCCTTTTCCCTCTTTTTGAAGAGCTTCAAAAAGAAGAGGAGGTGTGTGTGCCCGTGTGTGTGTGTTTGTATTAGAGAGTAGAAGGGAGGACACTGTATGTTTGTGTGGATGTATGTGTGTAAGCATACACGCACGAGCACAGATGGCAGCTGCTCAGCGAGGTCTCGGAGTGGTAATTACTGAGTGTGAGGCGCATTACTTAACTCTTAGCGTTGCAGTCTGCAGGATATCTGTATTGTTGCTACTGGTGTAGGAACTGATTTTAAACAGACAGACTGGTCCGGGTTGTGAGAAAAGAAAGTAGCCTGAACTTCAGCAGAACTGTGACTCAGCTAGTCTTGCCTCGTGTGGTTTTACGCATCTGTGCTGTATGCAACTGTAGATATGATCATGCAACAATTGGTTACAGAAAAAAGTCTGACAAAAATGCAGACTATGTTTTTGTTTCCATTAAAAGCCCAGGTTATGTCTGTGTTGCCTGTTAGCGGTGTGTTTTTATTGCCAACTAAGAAAACTATACAGAGCTCTGGATTAGGAATTGGATTGAATCTTTGTAATGGTTAAGGTTTTGCCTTTTATTTCTTTTGGCTTTGTAAGTGAAAACATCCTTCATAATTGATTTTTTTCTTGTTCTTTATGAAGCTTAACAAATGTAACAGTTACATTTTGAGGTGTTGCCATATTTGACCTACAGTATAGGCTCAATCCTTTTTCCAGATTTCTTACCATGGCAGTGGAGAGGGAGGGGAGAGCGATGACTCCGAGGGGGAGAACCAGGAGCTTGCACAGATTGACAGAGGTAAGTGCCCTCTGTCAACCAAATTATTTTAGTTTTAAATAGATGATGATCTTCCACCTCACTTATCGATTCTCACACATTATAATTAGATGTTTCAAGTCACCAGATTCAGTGATTAATTGATTATTATTTGAGATAATCAGCATCTGATAGCTGCATTCATGAGGCTGCTATAATCTAACACCATTCCTGGCTAGTTTTAAATATATATTGTTACTCTGCAGAGAATAATACAGTTGAATATCATCACTTCTGAGTAACTGTACCCCACTCACTCTCGCTTAAACACCAGTCCTGTTCTGAAATCTACAGCAGAACCAGGGCTGAACAATTTTGGAAAATAATCTCATTGCGATCTTTTTTACTTTCTGTATTATTCAAAACGGACAAGCAGTAAATCAGTGTATAGTATGACCAACACAATATTAGATAGATTAAACATACACTGTTCTTTCTTGTAGGTCAGGCCTGTGTTATGATGAAATTATTTGATGCATGAATTGCATGAATTATTATTATGAGCAATGGTGGAGAAGAAATATAAAATTTTAATAATATGAGGAAGATAATTTGAGAGTCAAGTCATGGCATTATACAATATATCATCAGGTAGGCCTACCTACAGACCATAAGAAAAACAAACCACCACACTGTATTATACAGCAAGTGCTCAATACAAAACCCACAGTTCAACCACCAATTAATAAGTTTATCTCAAAAACCTCCAAAAATACTCAGTTTGAGGTTCAGTTCAAAAGTTGGCCAATGAAAATAAAACCAAGTGTCGCCTCTTGCGTTCAATAGACAGCTTAGTAATTCTCCGACAACACTGGAGTTCCCCCGCAGCCTCCGATGCTGGTGAGCAGCGCACTGGCTTTAACCAGGCTGTAACTTGGGACACACTGCTCCTCTTTCACAGATATTTGCCGAGCTGACTGGTGGCTGTGTGTATGACGCAGGCGCCGATCGCTTACCTCACTACACGTGTCTTTCTGTTGTGCATTTTTCCTGTCCGCCAAAGCGGCGGATGGCCCGACGATTTCAACCACCAACACCACCAATTTACCCGCGGGTGGCAGGTGCTACTTTCATGCCCTGTGTGACGCTAAAGTTTCTGTAGTGTCAGCTTCTGTCAAACTCAAGGCCATTGTACAAAAACAAGTCAAGGTACAGCGTAATGTGCGAAGTTAATGCTTCCTCTGCAGACTGTTTAACTCTCACGTGTCATGTGCAGCCTTTGCGATTAGAAAATCTCGTTTTATCACATTGTGATCACAAATGCAATTAATCGTTCAGCCCTAAGCAGAACACAGTGTTTTTTTCTATTTCATTAATTATTAAAACGTTACTGGCTAAGATAACCATGTGTACTAATTTGAACTCTTCATGGCATAAAGGAATTTTACATGACCTTTGTTTTGATATCGGCATTATAAACCATCCATCGGCCATCCTGCTCTCTTGAAAACCTGCATCGGTTGACCACTAGATTAGAGCTTATAAATAAGAGCATTTGCACCCTTTTGCAACCATGTCTCCACCTTCTCCTTTGACATGTCCTGTTTATCGACTACTTTAGAGAGACGGAGAAATTGTGCCCTCACCCCCTTGGCCACAAGCCAGCAGCACAACCAGGGTCCCCTCTCTCCTGCCCGGTTACGCCGCCTCCGCCTCCTTTTAGATGCCAATCTGGATCGGCACTCTTCAGAGGAAGAGCTTGAGCGAATCAGCTGCGGTGAAAACAGGAAGTGGGTGTCGGCGCTTCCCCAGCGCCATGGCGATCACCACAGCAGCGCCTCCAGTGATGAGGAGGTGCGGGACCTCTGTGGCTGCGGGTCACCGGCTGCCTCTGCCAGGCCGCTGGTTGAGCCGGGTGCATGCCTGGCTGCCTCCCCCAGCCCTGTACTCTTCAGCTCCAGTCCACCACGTAGCCTCAAGCCACCCCCCATGCGCTTTCAGCTGCAGGTGGTGCAGCCAGTGGTACGGCCCATCATTTTGACTCACTTCGACCAGTCAGCACCTTACAGAAAGTATCGGCACAGTTACGGCGGGGAGCTGGGGAGGCCCAGTCTGGACCTGGAGAAAATGCAACAGGTTAGTAGTCCAAGTCATAATAAAATACCTTATGACTTTTTTTGCTGGCACCAATCTCTGCCCAAAATGTCAGCACTGCACCTAAATATACATCAAGAATCAAAACTGAGTACTCAATGCAGAAACTGCCCTCTGTGAGTGGAATACAATTAAACTAATATATTAATGCATTATTATTACTATTGTATTAATGTGTAAGTAGCACGTAAATGTTATAGCTGGTCGAGGTGAAGCTAATTTTAACTACTTTATATACTGTTTGGTAGTTTAATCTGTAGCAATGCATCATATTTTATAAGATCATCATATGTTTTGTATCTTATTTAGAACATTTTTACACTGTTCAAATACATGTAGTGGAGTAAGAGGTACAATGTTTCTGTTTAAATTGTAGTGGAGTATAATGTTACAAAGTAACATAAAATGGAAATACCTCAACGGTGTGCAGTACAGTACAGTACAGTACTTGAGTAAATGTACATGAACAAACAGTACATTTCCCAGGGCCCTACATAGCTGATAAATTAATATCTGTAGAATTTTTCCACAAATTGTCTCTCAAATCATTTATGTCTCTCTTACTCTGTAGGATATTTAGCTTGGGGAACACTTTAATTCTTGATAACCAGGGTATACAATAAAGTTACATTGCTCATTATGGGTTTTCTTCTGTTACACATGGTGATCCTCTTGGCCAAATTCATTTTCTGCCCCCAAATACTTACTAATACTAAATATAAAAACCCTCACAGGAATCCTTTTCATGTCTAAAAACCCATTTCACCATTAGTTGTATGTAAGTAAGTATAAGTCTCAGCAATATCAATACAATTATTACATGTGATTTCATATTTAACTTGCCACTGTAGCAATATGTGTATTCCACTGAAAACATTAAAAGTACAAAACAGCAGATGAGCCTTACTCCGTCCCCCCTCATCCCCACCCCCCCGAACAACTCAAACAGGGATGTCGGGCCGAGGATTTGGTCCAAAAATACAATGATGTCCCAGCAGTCTAACCGGCTACCCTACACACACACGGCTGCACAAACGTGCGCGCTCTCGCACAAGCAAACAAAGTCTTCCCTTTCCATAGCCGGACGCTCGCCACCACGGTGGTCTGGCTGGAGAGGGATGAAGGAGAGGGAGGCACGAACGGCAGATGTCCGCCCTCGTTTCTCACAAAGGCTGGCAAGCGAGGGGAAACGATGGAGGGGTGGAGGCAGAAGGAGAGGATTAAATAAACAACAGAAAAACGACAGACACTAATGAGTCATGGAGAAGCTGGTCCACTAATCATTAAAATCCAATAGACTTGTTGGCCCACACCATGGATGGGAAAGGGTGTGTGTGTGTGTGTGTTTGCAGAGAGAGAAACTGCAGGTTTCAGGGGTCCATATGCCCATAGGGTTTTTAGAGCGAAAGAACAGATGATGAGAGACAGCGGGCAGTAATGCGAGGGGTGAAGAGAAAAAAAGAGGAAGACTGTGTGTGTGTGTGTCTGTGTGTCTGTGTGTGTCTGTGTGTGATGCTGGGGTACGCGTCGATCATCCTGCCTGTCTTTTTGTGTCTGCTTGTGTACATCCTCCTGTCTGTGAGTTTGTTGCTGTGTCAGTGTGTGTCTGGTGCCTCAGTGTGAGTGTGTGTGCGAGAGTGTGCACACTCAGTCAAGTGGAATGGGAGGTGCTGCAGGGAATACAATAGGGGGCCTACAGAGGTAGCTAGCAGACGCAACTCCAGTCTCCCATTAACCCTTTAGCTGGACAACTTCCAGTCCCAAAGTCTGCCTCAACTTCTGCACCATCACCTTGTAATTTCTTTCACATATGCCGTCCTGGGATTTAAACCTAAGAAAGAAAGATGATCCAGCTGGTTCCTTTGAAAAAAGCAATTTAAAGGTGTCAGTACCAGGGGAATTCTTTGTTACATGTGTGGAAGGTAGAGGAGCAGTGCACAACTGCTATCTAGAATGAATTATCAAACATTTCCCATGCCATGCTCCTAAAAAAAAATTAGACCACAGATGTTATATATGAATTGGTGAAGAGGACTGTGGGGGGTTAAACTATTGATGAAGTCGTAATTGTTAAACAATGTCGCTTGTTTGCTTTTAGCCTCCCACATGCATGCTAAAAAAAAAAAAGCTGCTCTGTAGTCCGGTGGTGCGGCAGCAGAAACTTCTATATCTCTTCCCAGAAGGCAGCAGGGTGAACAGGCTGTGGCTGGGTGGGTACTGTCCTTTAGTATCCTTTGGGCTCTGCGTAGGCACCTCACCGATATCACTGATGCTCGGGAGATGGGTACCAATGATCTTCTGAGCAGTTTTAATCACCCGCTGCAGAGCCCTCCGGTCCTGGATCATGCACATCCCATGCCAGTTAGTGATGTTTCCAGTCAGGATGCTTTCTATTGCTCCTCTGTAAAAGCTGACAAGAACTTGTTGAATGTGGCAGTGCCGTTGTTTGTTAGCCTGATCATCATGAAAGAATAACAATTTGTGCGTTAGATGTTGGTCATTAGCGGACCTATGGGCACAAATGTTGCAACTCTGCAAAATATAATAATATAATAAAAACAATACAAACTGGTAGCTCAGAGTACCATAGCAGTATTTTACATGCTGTAACAAATTAGCTAGTTTATTTTACTTACAGCAATTTCTCAAGCATAACAGTTTTTAATTGTCCTGCCTACTGCACAGCCACTGGTTTCTATTCATTTTATGATAGTTTGAAAATCCACTGGAAGACACAAAACTTTCTTGCAATGGGTAATCTGTCATGTTGAACAGGATGCTTATTGGCATTTCATGTTTTTAAATTACAGTTGCATTTGAAGCAGATGTAAAAAAAACCCATTGGTGTGTTGATGTTCCAGTGCTCAACTTCTGAGACTACATAAAAACATAAACAGTGGTTATATTATAACTTTCACCAACATTTAGCCTAGCCATTAGCCTAGATAAGGCAACTTTAGAAATCATTCAAACAACAACAGGTAAATGATACATGTCCAACTATCACACACATACAGATCTTTAAAATCACCCCCCCCCCCAAAAAAAAAACCCCAAATCACATCCTAAAACAATCATAAGAAATTGAAGGTTTGTAGTAAATTGGCTAAACATATAAATCCATGTTTATGGCTGTTTTAAAAAAAAAACTATTACATTTTTGAACAAAATTGAGTCACTAAATCTACATACAGTAACTTACTTTTATTATTAGTTCTTGTTCAACCACCCACATAGACTGTAGTGCCATTGATAAAAAAAGATAAGGGCTGGCAGGAGGTGAGCATGAGGGCAAGTGCACACTCTCTCCCACATTGCAACAGCAGGAGTCTTGTGTTACCATTCTTTCCTCTGCTCCCTTCCCCCTTAGAAGCTACCTCCCCAACTCGAGACAATTTGATGATTGTGTGGTCCCTCCACCCCCGCTATTTTTCTTCTTTTTTTTTTTTTGGAGAATAGTGGAGCTGCGTGGACATGGAGGGGAGTGGGAGACAGGATATTGCATAAGCTTCACGGGCTGACTGTTTAGTTTAGTGAGACAGCTGGATTTGCCTCACTTCCTTGATCATCCTGATTTAATGATAGTCGACTGCCAGTGCACAGTTCTTGTCATATCACAAGTGTTGCTGTTTCAATGTAAAGGTTACTGTTCACATACTGATTGTGAAATGGCTGAATTTTACTAATCTGCTTGATTAAAATAAACATGCACGTAAACGTAGCATTTTATCACTTCATCCAGACCGTGGTGCTACAATTACTTGTTTGGGTTCACAGTAGCCTACAAAAAGGTTACTGAATTATACAAGACAAAGTGTGCTAGTTGCACAAGCATGCGGCTTTTACACAGCTTTTGGACTGTCCATAAAAGCTGCTGCAGAAGGTTTATTTGACTTGAGAACTCTGTGCTCTCCCATCTCCACAGAAAATGCTGTTGAAAAAGAACTGTGGAGGGAAAACGCGGACTATAAAGATTCGGGTGAGTTCATTTTTATTCAACTAAGTTTCCCACAGTAAATAAAACAAACAACAAACAAAACAAACAAACCAAACCCTCTTGTAGTCTTTTGTCGTGATGAATGCAAACAATTGATGGCATGTTAAAAACCCTGTTTTGGATGTCTGTCATAAAGATATGTTGTTTATACAAGTGGTATTTATTTGAATATACACACACAATCTTTCCTTTCATGCAGACCCATAATAGGCAGTCCAGATCAGGGTGTCCATTACAGCAATGATAAGGTTGCAAAGTTGCTCGGCCCCCGTGAACAGCCCGGCCTGTCTTGTCGCCAGCACCTTGATGTCAATCCAACTGCATACTGGGACAGCATCTGGCAACAGCGTTTGTTCCCATGCCCTGCTAGCAACAGAGCCATGCCTGAGACGTCTGAAAATCTGATAGCACTGTCAGATTCCTTTTGCAATCAGAGCCCAGCTAAACACTGTTTACTGCAGTGGTGCTTAGGACAAAGAAAAAAGAAGAAAAATGTTTCCTATTTTCCTTTTCGGGTTTGTTTGATCTCTTGATCTCACTCAGCAGCCTTTAATTGCTGAGCTTTCCACTTGTCCCATTAGTGCACATTTGCCCGCCTAAATAGCTTACACAAGGTATTTTCCCAAGACTGCGGTCCAACTGATCTTCCTGTAAGGTGGTTTTCCAAACACAACCTCCGATATAATCATCCACCAACTCAGCACTGCAACTGTGTATGGGTTATTGTTTTTTGTTTGTAGTGGTTAAGGGGAAGCATGATGGAGAGTCGACTCGAACAAGCCTGGGCATCTTGGCACAGAGCAGGGTACTCCAGAAGGATGCACAGTGTGGTGAGAAAAGTGACGTTATTATCACGTTGTGTGGGATAGTGTCAATGGAACCTTAGCACACACTTGTTTATGTACATACACACTTACACCAACTGTAACAGCATCTAGGCTGCTCCAGCCCTCCATATAGGGATCTGTCATCAATACAAATACTGTATATAAGAGGAAAAAAAGAACTGAGGATCATCTTTGAGAGTGGTTTAAGAAGAACAAGTCAGTGGCGATGAGAGATGGAGCTGAGGAGGAGGAAGAGGAGGTGGAGTGTTGCGCGGTTCCCTTGTGGTGTATTTCCAGGGATGAAGTCATTTTCCATTTATAGCCCGGCCGGCTGCTATCTGTTTAGCTCCACTGATACATAGAGATATTGCTCATTATCCTCTATTCTCGCTGGCGTAGTTGGTAGTGTTGTTGTCGCTGTCAGTGACGTCTGTGGGCACTGGGTATGTTCCAGTTCATAGATTTTTCTTGAAGTGAGTACACAGTGAGTCTTTGGATTGATGAGCCACTTGGAGGCTTGTTTCGACTGTCTACCCTTTGTCCATCCCATCTCTCCATCTCCATCCGTCTTTCTTCCTCTATTAAAATCTTTTCTCGGCCCGCTGCCTCTCTCTTTCTGTCTCTCTTTCCCCCTTTTATCAGTCAAGTGTCAAGGCTCTGTTACCTGGCCAGAATCCCGAAGAGACACTGGATCTGGATGGAGCCCCGGCCTGGATACTGGATTCAGCCATGGGAGTTGTTACGGGAGTTAAGGTGGCTGATGGGGGTGGTGGTTGTATGTGTGGGTTTTAAAGGGGGGAGGGGGCGGGTCATGAGGAAGTAGTAGGAGAAAATACAGCTTTGGCTGGTGCTGCTTAGGCCTTCCCTCCCTCTAGGGGTTGGAGGGGAAAAGGCGAGCGGGGTGATGAGAGCTTCCCAGGCTGCAGCGGGCAAGACTGATGGCGTCTGGTTTCAGCCATCATAAAGAATGGGCGGAGAGGAAGGCAAAGATTGATGAGTGAGTGAGGGAAATGGTGCAGATATGGAGGGGGAAACTAAATGGAATGAAAACGTGCTGCATACCCCTTTGATTTTTGATTGAGGTAAACTGCATGGCTGGGAAGTGACATGAAGGCATTTTTTGGTCTTAGCATTAGGACAAACAGATGTTTGAGGAATAGTCTGACATTCATTGCAGAGAGTTGGATGAGGAGAGCGATACAACTCGGCAACTACACAGACATGTAAACCTCCCTACCTAGCAGCAGACAGATTTTTTTCATGGTGGGATGACGGGATGTTACCCAACTCCTTACCAAAGCTTCCTGGAACAGCACATCCACACTGAGCCTCCTCTCATGATGAAATATTATAGAGAACCATCGGATCAGACTTGGTATGGGCCTAGACACAATTTCAAAGGACTCCCATTGGGCCAGGTGAAAAACATCATGATCAGGATGATCAGGACATCCCAACTTTGGACTGAGTCCTTTGACTTTACAACAAGAAATGTTAATAACAATCACCTCATACACAGGCTATAGTTCAGGGCCCCCAGACCCCTTGGGCCCCTGGTCCAGTGCCCCCTAGGCCTAACCAGCATTCCATCATGTAATAAACTTTCCCCCAAACTATTAAACTAGTCCTTTAACAGAGGGCTGGTAACACAGTGTGGAAACTTTTCTAATGTGCAGATTGGGGCCTAAATTAATACAGGACAGGAGAAACTTGTAACAACACTACATCTGTAGAAAGAGATTCCAACTAGTTAAGCACCAGGACAAGTGGGATATTATATTCCTGGTGTTTTCCCTTTGATGTCTGCACAGAGAGCCTTGTACTTTTGGGACTTGTACTTTATTTGCCCCTTCTGGGCCCTAAATGTCCATCATACTGCAGATGTGACCACAGGACAACATTGCCAATGTGGACAGGGAGCCTTCATGATGTATGACTCTCCCCCACAGTTGGACTGACTCACAGCTACCATATGGAGAACATCTTAACGCAGTTCACATCTATCAAGTTTACCGTAACGTGTTCTCGGGCTATGATTTGTTTTTCCACCTCTCACTTTTTGTCTGTTTATATAAACATCGGTAGATAAAACAAAGTGGTATTGGGAATTGTTGCCGTGTTACTTTGGCTCAGTTGTCAGTACTGAATCCCTCTAGATGTTGGCTGAAGTCATAGCAACACCTGTAGCCTCACACATACACTGGTAATGGTCTTATTTCACATGCACTTACAGTATGTCATTTTTCCTAGCAGTGGGCACTTTCTAAGCATCTGAATGAAATCAGTCCCTTACAGGGATGCATCTATGTCTGTTCTCCGAGAGGTGTTCTGTAATGCCTGACGATGAGAATATAGAGCTATCCATATAAACACACACTCAAGTTTTTCCATGGGATCAGCTCCTAATTACGACAAATCTGTCTCAAGGTCCCCCCCCCCCCCCCCCCCACCCCGGCAGCCTCTGGAGAAAGTGCTGCCTCACTGCCAAATCCAACAAAGTCATTTCCTGTCGTTTCCTGTACAGAGGAAAATGACCAGGGCTAATTTTAGACAGAGGGCTTGTAGAGCCACGAGAAGCGAGGTTCTGCACGGAGGGAGGTGGCTCTGTGAGTGGAAAAGCATTTATGTCACTGAACCTGCAGTGTGGGTGAAAATGTTCTAACGAGGTGTCATTTTCCCCAACCCCTGGTAGTTTGGTTTTCAGTCACTTTTCTCACAGTCTTGTAACACAGCCACACAGTTATGCTGCAAAAATAACAACAACAATGTCACCGCTGACGTGAACTGACATACTGTAACTGACCAATAATACCATAACTCAAGGGCAGCGGCAGGTAATCCTCGCCTCGTCATCCATCGGATAAAGCTCAAAAGCTGGATGAACCCGAACACCTCACCACCATGACCGCTCCTCTCTCTCTTTGTGTCCTCAGAATCTGACAGGCAGTCGTCCTCCGCCCAGGTACACCTACGATCCCTCCATCTTCGCCTTCCGCTCCTTGAGCACCGCGCCCCCCTGCAGCCCCATGACCCCGTCCGAGGATCCTCCCTGCTCATAAGGAAATTCATCCGCCACCAGATACTCCTCTCCCTCCTCTCTTCATTCCCAGACGGCTGCTTTTTTTTCTTTTCTTTTTTTTTTTCGCGGCTTCTGCAGCAAGGCCAAGGAGCGGCTGTTGCGAAACTGACTGCTAGAAAGACGTTTGTTTGATGAGCGAACTATTGCACACTCAGGTAATCCCACCCTGTAACGCTGTCACTTTGATCATTGTTCTCCACATGAAATCAACAGGAACACTTTGAGTATAAAACGGCCTAAACACGACATTTCTAAGGATGCTTCAGGTATTGTATGTATAGCTCTCTCTGAAAAGATCCTGTGATTGGAGGAAGAATGGTCAAGACACAAACCAGAGGTGGTACAAAGGTGGTACAAAGGGACAAGACCAACCATTCTGAAGCCTGGATTTAGCTCTGGGCTGGATCAATGTTCAAGGGAAATAATGCATGTAAGACAATCAAATTGTTCCACGGTTTCTTCCTTTGATGTGATTACTGGACATCTTGTAAGGTGCTTGATAACTATATATACTACACATGGCGAGGTGAGTCATCTGATATCTTGTTATTGTTGAGATGAACATAGACAGTGGTCACATTTGTCTGTCTGAAAAACTACTTCTTTGGATGTGTTATTGAATATGCAGGTCATGACGAGCTATAACGAACATGTATGTAGTTGAATAGTTGACCTTTGACGATGTACGTTTCTTAATGGGTTTGTCACTCTTAGTCCAGGCAGTGAGTTAAGTATCCTCTTTCCTTGCATGAAAGCCACTGTTTTGCAGAAAGAGAGGTATGTGAACATAAGGATGAGAATAGTTTGCTGCACATTTGGCAAGTGTAATTGGTCCTACTTGTAGTGTGCCACCCCCCCCTCACTACTTTCTAGGTAGAAGAGGACCACTGGTATATCTAAGACATCCCAGTGTTTTTTTTTTTTAAAGATCTCTTAATGCCTTGAAATCACATTCCTGTCGTATTGAATGAAACTTCTCTGCTCCTGAAACGAGCTGGTCAATTCATTAAACACAACATCACCACTGTAACTAAGATTTCGCCGAAGTGAATGTAACATTGTGACACGTTTTCGTCCATTGTTGCACAAAACAAATCAATAAATGCCCTGTGGCCTCTTGTTTAGGAGGTGATTTTTATTTGGATCAATATGTTATATATATATTTATATTGTGAGAAAGGGGGAAATCATAATTGAGTGGACAAACACAATGTGACAGACATGCTGGGACTGTGCTCTCCATCAACATCATCAAAATAATCAGGAGTTTTTGAAGACCAAAGCAGAGAGAGAAAAGGAGAGTGAACATTGGATGTAATTCATTCTTGTCAGCATGTTTTGGTTAACAAATTTTATGATGCACAATTTTGCACTTCCCAGGTCCACTAGCCATCTACTGAAGTGACTGGATATACTGTAAGGCATAGCAACCATGTACAAAGAATTGAAACTGCATAGAACCGTTGCATGGGCTTCTCTTTTATCATTGGCACATCATCATAGGTGTGTATAAGAAGGATCTGCCAGGTGGAAGGAGAGAGGACTCATGTGTTTGGAGCAGGAAAGAATGCTCTCCATCAGTGATTAGTAGGTCACAGAAAAGATCTACAGCCAAGACCACAAAACTCTGTGCCAGATGTCTGTCAAACACTGAGAGAGAGAGAGAGAGAGAGAAAAAAAAAATCTGCCATCAAAACTGGGTTAGGTGGGAGGAAGGCCCAGAAGTGTACACCAGAGAGCACAGACGGCTGGAAGATTTGGGGGAGAGCGATGAGAAGGGGGTAAAAGTGTGTAAAAAGCTTGGAGCAACTCGCAGGTTACATACAGGCAGTTTTATTATACATTTATATAACAAAATACAGTTTACATTTCTTTACTTTGTCTTTTTGAGAAAAGATGACAGGAAAGAGGGTGGAGAGTATGGCAGTAAACCAACAGAACAGCACTGAGTGGGATTTCACAGAGCGAGGAATCCTGCTCTAGGCAAACACACACCAATAGCTGACTCGCTCATAAAGACGATCTTGTTAAAAAGGGAACTTTGAGAAGGTTGGGGCTGTGTGTGTGTGTGTGTGTGTGTGTGTGTGTGTGTGTGTCATTGTAGACGCTGACACACACTCCACTTAGCTTGAGTCATTATCAGCTTGCGTTTCATCCAGTAAGCCATCCAAGTGTCCAGATGGTCAGAAAAGCTGCTTCAATGCTCTCCCTCTTTCTCCCTTCTTGCTACACACTGTCCTTTTGGAGAAAAAAAAAAGGTAATGCCAGCGATGGACTGAAGCCAAATAGGGGAGGGATGCAGATTGGACGTCAGGTGGATTTAAATGCAAGAGGAGCGGGCCAAAGACCAGAAAGCTGAATTCAGATCAGTTACTGCTCCTGCTCTGCCCCTTTCTATTTTCTACTTGGATGATATGCAATTCAAATAAAAGAACAAAATTCAAGTGCTACCCATCTCTATTATCGTCAGGGGTGAAAAGTGCCAGCAGGCCGACTGCCCAGTGTCTGCTCTGAGTGGGGCAATTCCCAAAGCAGGCCAGTTTAATTTGAAGTGGAATGGTGCTTTTTGTTTATGGCAGTCTGAGAATGGAAATATCCCCAAAAGACAAATAAAAAGGTGCAGCATTATTATCTTATCTTTGCTTGTCCTTTGCAGGCTGCCATTACTTCAGCCACACAAACACACACACACTGACTGACTGGGATGGGTAGGATGGGTTAATGGTCAGAGCTAAGGGGACAGGAGGCTTTGTGCAGTGTAGAAGCTGGTGGAGTGGAGACACAAGAGCCCTCTCGCCGATGGTTTCCCTCAGTAGCCGTACTTGTCGTTCAGGTGTGTGCGGCCGTCTCCAGTCTGACCTATGAGTGGAGAAAAGCGAGGATTTTAGCATCAAAAGGATTCATATTTACAGACCATTTCACATACCTGTTGGGAGAAAATATAAAATGCTCAAAATGCCCTGCAAGAACAAATTCACCCGATTGACCAGTAAAGTGCAGCGCCCTAGTTGGTGAATCATCAAAACAATTACAACCCGATAGTGACGCAATTAGTTCTGACCCTGAATCTAAGCTCAGTCTGGCACCCGGTTTGAGGTTTATTTTTATTCCAACTTATTTTATCATTTTTAAGTGACTTTGATCTGCATTCCTTAGTGAACAATGAAAATGTCGCTGCAATTTCAGCAGCATAAATGGACCATGAAAGCCTGTTTACCTCCTCTCACCATGTCCTTAAACCCCCCGCCATTCCTGAGCTCAGCAGGCCGGGAACATACAAGCCAGTCAGTGTCAACGAGTGTTTGTCAAGTTAGAGACACAGAAGCCCATTTCTCCGTCGTGAAAGTATAAGAATGCCACTGGTACTGTGTCATGTTAACCTAGGTACCTCCTGTCTGCTGCATAGACTGTAATCATATCTGAATTCTAGATATCTCCCATATTTACTAGGTTTATATTTAAGCAAAAGATTCAGACAAAGTTATAACTTATATGTCACTTATAATAACATAGAGCACAAAGGTTAAAGTTGCACTGCTTGCTTAATGAGCTTGACTATGATCTGGACATGATAATCGGTCAATAACACCATCTTGGAGTGTATTGCATTAGTCGTGTTTACCTGAAGGAGGCATCCAGACACAATAATCAGGGTCGTCCTCTGGATACTGCCCCGAGAGCTGCACTGGTGGCTGTAGAGGCAAAGCATGAGGAAATTTAATTTAGTCTCACTTTTCTGTAAGATATAAATATATATTGGTTCCTGTGTGTGTGTGTGTGTGTGTTTGTTTCTACCTTGCTGGGGCCCATCATTTTCTTCTTCACGTTCTGTCTGGGGCTGGGCTCTGCTGCTAGCTCTGTGTCGCCTTCTGCTTTGGACTCTGGAGACAAACAGCAGGTACAGTAACATTAGAGATGGTGCGCCAGTACCACTGACACACAGCAGCCAATACTGAATACTGGAGAGAGCGCTGACTGACGTGGAAATAAAACGCAGTACCCACCTACACTTGATGGGGCCACAGCCTTGTTGCTGCTGCGCTGAGGGATCTGCTCAGCTGCTGCGGGAGAATCCTCACCTCTCCTCTGTTTGTGGCTTTGCTCTAATATGCAGTCATTCAAACAATAAAATAAATAAAAAAGTGTTACAATTAGGATATGCACTGATATACGAATTTAGAACAAATCTACACAGCATGTATAAGTGCTAGTTCATTTCAGAAATCCTTCTAGCATGTTCAGTTTCAAGATTTGCACCTCTAATTATTTTAACATTGCAAATGTGAGTCACAGAGAAAGATATTTTCTGATTTTGCATTACATACAATTGTCAGAGGTCACATTTTTCCAACTTTCTGAATAATTTATCAATAAAAAAATAATTTTAAAAACTAGATATAAATCTATAAGATCTTTGTGATTGTGACTTTGTCTTTACATATCTATGTACGGATGACACAGGGACAACGGCGTGCTCTTTGTATGCATTGCAAATCTACTGCCACCCGGTGGTATAGGAAATTCATATTTATAATATGAAGAACTACAGTGAGCACATTTTCCCTATTAATGTTTACTTTAAAACTTCCCCCACTTCTTATGGCTTTTTACCTTTTGGCTCTTGAGACGGTGCTGGTTGCGGTCTTTGCCGCCCTGAGGGAGCGCTCTCTTGAGACATGGATACACTGGACTCTTCAGAGTCAAGATTAGTCTCAGTTATGGTTGGGCACTCTTCATCATCATTATCCTCATTTTTCTCTGCATCCTGCTCCTCTTCCTCCTCCTCCTCCTCCTCTTCTGCACCAGGTGGAAGTTCTTTCATGTTGAAGAGCTCTGCAGGCAAGTTGGGGCGCTTAGGAGGCAACTTCTACAAGAGAGAAGAAAAAAAAAAGAAAAATCAATAGCAGAGGGAAAGACAGAGCGCCGAGCTATCAAACATGAGAAACAGCACCTACCCCGATGGTACCAGTCTTCAGTTTGAATTTGCTTCCTCCCTTCATGGCTCCAAACAGCGGTAAGGTCTTTTTAGGCTTCTCCGGCTCTGAGCTACCACTATCACACAAACACACATCAAAATAGTGGATAAATGTGGTCTAATATTGGAATAAAAGATTTCCCCATATATTTCATCACCGTTAACTCCAGAGAATGTTTCAAAGAAGCTACAAAACACATTCCCGTACTTCTGTAAAATAATCCAGATGGAAAATGTGCATTTATTTTAGGACTTGTATTGTATGTATTTGCTTAAAAAACAATGTTCAGGTTTCAGTGATATTCTAGAACAACCAGCGTGACCCCTTGAACGTAGCACTGTGTCTAACCTCGGCAGCAACGCGGGCATCTGGGCGGGCCGTGTGAGCTCGACTAGTTTGCGGAGCCTCTGAGCGTCTTTGCGCAGGTCGGCCACGCGCATGTGAAGCTTCCTGCGCGCCACAGCGTCCATCGCCGCCTCGCTTCGCACTGCAGTCATGAAGGCATCCAGCGGGTCCTCACTGGAAGAGCCGGAGGAGTCTGAGAGGAGGGATGACACACACACACTGTAACACGAGGAGAACATGCGTCCGTATGTAGTGTGGCGTCTGTCCGCAGAGCAGGGAACACACACGGGCGATCGTGACTCACCTCCCTTACCAGCACTGAGCTTTTTCTGAGTCTCTGCTAGCTCCTTCTCCACCTCTGACAGTTTGGCCACCTACATGAAAATCAAATACATGATCAGTAGCACAGAAACACAGAGTGTGCTTAACATTATAGCAGTGCAGTTTACATCAACACACACTACAGTATAAAGCTGTTTCCAAAGCAAAGTGATTTTTTTCCCCCAGTACAAAAAGCATCTGTATTTAATGTGTTCATGTATTAACATTCATTTGACAGCGAGGAGACGCAGGCAGCTCTTATGTGTCATATGTGACTTGTGGTTTCATAGGGTAGAAACACTGCAGCAAGAAAACAAAGAGGAGCCTATGGTATCTAACGATATGTGCAACTTAAAATTAACACTTATGAAATGACAAACAATGCCCTTCTCTTACATCTATATCAGACTTTACACAGAAGTTTAGTCAATTAAAGCTAGTTGGTGAATTCTCAGAACAATGTCATTATGCTACAGCCTCAGGGGGAACAGGGTGCAACTAAGGCAATAAACTAAGGTGAGGATAAAGATGTACTGAATCAGAATATTGTAATATTCCCCAGCCATGTGTATAAACAGTAGCAGATTTGTACCAATGACTCAAAGGTCTCAGGCCGCTCCTCAATCTTTCCCGCCTTCTTCATTCTCTCCTGCCTCTTCTTCTCCACAGCACCGGTTCGATCCAGGAAGGTGTCGTCATCACTGTCGTAGTAGTCCTCATCTTCCCAGTTCTTCTTCTTGCGCTTACGGGACACTGGAAATAGGATGTAAAAAAGAGGCATATCTATTACTGCGATCTCCATAACTACAAGCTGTAACCTCTCTGGGTGGTGGTTCACAATTCTACTTTGGGACATTCCCACTGGAGCCACGTTCGCACCTGCTTCCTGGCGCAGCAGCCCTCTGGCTTCCAGCATTCGACACGCCTCCAGGCAGCACTGGATGGCAGCTTCTTTCTTCTTCCCTGTGTGGGTCACCTCGGCAACCAGCTGCCGGCCCATGGCATCATCCACCGGAAGCCTGACAGAAACATCAACACGGACTGTGTGACCCTTTACACACTTTACAGCCTTCCTGGCAAAGGTTGTGAAGTGTGTATGCAGACATTCGTGTACACTCAATCACAAATGAGGGGCTTTATGTTACTAACTTTATTCTGCAGAGCCAGCTGCCATGGCTTTTGTCTTCATACTCAAACTCCAGCTCCTCTCCTAAGACAAGGGAGGTCAACGTCAATAAATTAAAGAAGCAGAAGGACGAGACATCTGTGGATTAAGAATAAGTCGTCTCACCTTCCCTGTCATAGAAACCCTGCAAAGCTTTCTTTGGGTCTTTCAGGTAGGCAGCTTCCTGGTCCTCGTGGAACTCTGTTGAAAAAGGGTTTTCCTCGTTCTCGTCTTCCTCTGGAACGGCCTCCTCAGCTGCAGTAGGGATTTATGGAGACAGATGGAATGATAGGAAGAGGAGAGAACAAAAGCATTAACGTGCTTCTTTAGTTTCTCGCCGTAGCAGAAACTTGGTACCAACTCACCGCAGACAACACGTAGCATGATCCTGCAACCAGCAGAACAAGCTCACCTATTCCCCACGAACAGCCCGAGTCTTCATTTGACAGTTTGCTCTGACTCTTGTTGCTTTCGCCTTCCTCTATCTCCTCCTCCTCCTCGTTATCAGAACCATCTCCCATCATCCTCCTCTCCAGCTCTGCCTTCTGTTTTCGTGCTCGCTCCCTCAGCTCTGTCACTGTTAGCTCAGACTCCTCTTCCTCGTCAAACTCTGGACCCTGTGGGATGGGGAAAGTGGAAAGTTGGTGAAAATGTAATATTTTGGGGGCATTGTGACACTGCAGACATGTCATGACATTTAAATGATTATGATGATTGATTTCTTGTTCAAAGGGCACTCCACCGATGAGTCATTGTCAGACTCACAAAAAAAGTCTTTTTAGTTGCACACATTATTCTTCCTTGTGAAAGCCAGCTGCCTACATTCTTGATAACGACTCCACAGAGGTCAAACAGCTGGGACTCACTGCCAGTCAGTCAGGACTGAAGAAGCCTCTTGGATGAGAGGCGAAACGTCTCCGAGTATCAACCAAGTCCAGCTGCCCTTAATTTTAACCCACCTTGGATAACTATGAACAGGATGAGTGTCCCAAAATCCCATCAAACTGCTCCAGAACCCAACGTAAATGTCTACAGATTTCTTGTTTTGTCGGATCAACTGCCCAAAATTAATCAATGACATTTAAATGATTACTAAAATTGTTTAATAGCAAATCATGTTCTGTCGATCAACTGATTAATGAATCAATAAACCATTTATTGTTTATTTTTCTGCTTAGCACAAGTTCATTCCTCACACACAATAAAGGTTGTACAAATGAGGACTCCCATAGTGTAGTCAGGTGGGTTGTTTAATAAAATGTGCTTTAATTAGCAATCTTTTGCACAATATTGTGCTTCTGGGCAGGCACACAACAAACACTTCTTTTCAGTATTGATTAAGGAACTGGTTATTTAAATGAACTGATTAATAATTCATCTGAAAATAGTGAAAAATGACCACCATGATTTCCCAGAGGCCAAGGTGATGTCTGCAAATGCCTTGTACTATACAATGAAATGTCAGTGATTCAACACGCCGCCTGTCGTGCTCAGATGCAGATATCTTGGTTTGTGACTCCCTTTTTAATCAGCAGCATACAAAGTATGGATCTATCTGATTTGACTGTGAGCTTCCTGTTTGGAAAAAACAGATTTAACATGTTTTTTGAGGGCTTGACAGTTCCCTCATCAGACAGTTTGAGCCCTGTAAGAAACTACAACCAAGTGGAAAGACGAGGATTAGTGCTATAAATGATCATAAATGAGGAGAATGGTCTGGGCTGAATTATAGAGATATTCCATCTCATGGGTTGTTTTTAATTCCCTTATTTTTGCTTGTTTGTGAAGGCAGTAAAAACAAATATAGTCCTACATATAAGTACTGTATGTTATCATATGTACCCAAGAGTTAGAGAATCTCAGGCTTTAAAAAAAAAAATGTAAAAGCATGGTTGGACAGCTGCAGTCCATCCCTACTTTTACACGCAGGTTAAATAAAGCCCCCTATGTCCTCCTGTCAGTGTAGTGAGTAAAGGGGGTCCACATCATGATTTACCTGCAGGATAAAAAGCCTCGTGCTCCCACCAAACTTCAAGACATGTCCCACGCGCAGTCTGATGTAGGTCTTCGGAGGGATCCTGTTCTTGTTCACCACAGTGCCGTGTGTGCTGCCCAGGTCATGGACGTAGAACCCTCTCTCCTCTCCCACACACTGTCCCTCTCCGCCCTGTCTGCGGTACTGAATCACCGCGTGGTACCTGGAGATGGAGGGATGCTCCAAAGAGACGTCACACACAGGCAAACGTCCAACCACGAAGTAACTTCTCTGTGTGAGGGGCACTTTGTCCACTATGGTGCCGTTTTTAAGGATTTCTAGGGCATATGGGACATCCGGAGCGATGCCACCCCAGGGCGGCTCTGTGTATGGGAGAGGGGGGAACTTACCAGCCGGGGGCCCTTTAGTAGGAAGCACCCTGGGTTTAGCTTCTGGCTTAGTTTTGACAGGAGGAGGAGCTTTCTTGCCTTCACCGCATTTGTTTTCCTCTTCTTTGCTTTTGTCTGTGGTTTTGTTTTCATTTACAGGAGCCGAATAATCCTCACTCGTAGTGTCTACGCCTTCAGCGTCGTTATTTTCTGTCACGCTTGTTGTTTCGGCAGCTTTGGCTTTGGACGGAGCAGCGACGCTAACGTTGCTGCGTTTGCTGGCGAGGGAAGGCGCTGCGAAAAGAGCCGGTTTCTTAAAAGTGTCTTTTGTTTCTGGCTCACTTTCGTGTGAGTCTTTCTTTTGACGGTCTCCCGCGTCCTCCGTGGCTGAGCACTCACCCGTTTCCATTGCACAATTAATGTCTTCATCCGTATTTTTCACACACACGTCTGACGGCGGGGAGGCGGCCATGTTTATTTGGTGCGACAGTGAACGTCGCCCGGGTTTTCTGAGCAGCTATAAAACTCAAGAACACAAGAGCTAATAAAGACTATGGTTCAGAAAAAAAGTCGTTGAAAAATAGTTTAGAACACGACAACAATGCACGTTAATATAATCTATAATGTCACCCCAATCAAAATGAATGGTTTGATGCAGAACTAACATCTTGTTCAACTGTTCACCCGAGTTTTTTGCAACAAGGACGAGAAAGCTTATTTCCTGTGCAACTTCCTTCAAAGATCCAAGCGCCATTGGTTCCAATTATTAACAGACGATTTATTCATCTCTATGTGATGTGAGTTACAGTTACGTTTATATTATTATATGCAATTCAACTAGCTAAACCTGTATGCTACGTACCTGACTAGCTGCCTTGTATCGTAGCCGTCGCTCCTTCATGAATGAGAGTTGTTTGTTGCTGCGACCTCTCTTTTATGCTCATGATGTAACCAAACTTCAGTCAGATACAGTACCTTCTGTGTTGTCTTGCTGTTCGGCAAACATACACACTTGTTAAACCTTGACTTCGGAGCGCACGTTAATCAGTGCAGTTTCCCTCACAATTCGGCACACACATCAAGTACTTTTAATTGCGTTTCCAGTGCGATCCGATTATAATGGGTGGGTGGTCAGATTTATGCCGAAATAATCACAAGAAAAGTACAGCATTGTCTATGATTTGTGCACGTTTGCCCACCATGCGATTGGTAATACATTTCCCAGCTAAGGACTATTACCTTGGCACACATTTTTTTGAAAGCGGGTTCTAAAAATGTGAATAAACGCTGTTTTGAAAGTGTTTTTCTTTAACTCTGATGTTTTTTATACCCACTTCATCGTTGGTCGTGATGGCCTCTCCAACCTCCTCTCGACTTTTCCAGCTCTCAGACTGATAGTTTGAATCCGACTGGTGTCTTTAGTCACTCATCATGATGCGTTACTGGGGTGAGATCCCGGGACCTGCGGGGGCTCCTCCCAGTCGCAGCTCCTTTGACCTGCTCCAGCGCGAGTTTCGCTCAGTGGAGATGCAGGACCCTCCCCTGCACCAGCCCTCTGCCCAGCGTCCGCGGCCCACCACGATGCTGGACATCCCCTCAGAGCCCTGCAGCCTCACCATCCACACAGTGCAGCTGTGTCAGCACGTCCGTCGCCTCCGTGGCCTCTTGGCAGCGGCCCAAGCCCAGGCTCAGGGTCAGAGCTCAGTGTCCTCTGAGGGTGGCAGCAGGCTGGAGGAGGCCGATACCAATCTGCCCCTGCATCCTCCCACCCCACCTGCCATGCCAGATGACTTGCTACCTGCGGACAGCAAAGCCCCTCGGCAGCCCTTCCAGCTCCGCCACAGTGACCCTGAAAGTGACTTCTATAAGTAAGTTAATGTGAGTGTGTCTGAGCCATCATGCTGCACTCCTTTATTTGTGATTAAATACATTCCATAGCCAGTAAAGCACTGAAAGTGTAGGCTTATCAGTCAAGTTTAGTTGTTTTTGTTATTCCAGATTATCAAAAATTTCACAGATATAATCTCAGTTAATTAAGCAAACCAGTCATCATTCATCTCCTTTCATCTCCGCTGGTTCTTCCATCATAAGGGGTAAAGGCGAGCCTGTCACAGAGCTGAGTTGGCCCTCCTGCAGGCAGCTCCTCTATCAGTCAGTGGCCACCGTCTTGGCCCATGCTGGCTTTGAGTCAGCCCAGGAGAGCGTGCTGGAGACCCTGACCGACGTGGTCCATGAGCATTACCTGCGCCTCACCCGCCTTCTGCGGGTGGCGGTGGACCGGGAGGCTCGGCTCGGAGCCAGTCCCTTCCCAGACGTGGTGGAGCAAGTGTTTCATGAGGTGGGCATCGGCAGCGTGCTGGCCCTGCAGCGCTTCTGGCAAGTGCGGATCAAGGACTACCACAGCTACATGCTGCAGGTGAGGTTGGGAGAGGATCATAGCTGTTCATGGGGTTGTGTTATTTGACAATAAGAAGATATTAATTTGTCAGCCATCCAAGATTTTGGCATACTGTACATATACCGTATCTATATTAATATCTGTGGTCGTATTAGGTCATTTTTGAAAACTGAAATGCCTCATGAAGCAGTTTGCTGTGGGGTGTACAAATGGCAGAGCAGAAGCTATGACGTAGTTTCTCCCTGCTGTCTCGTTTAGTGCTGAAAGGATTAGTCAATCACCTCTATAAGAAAAATAATTCTCAACAATTTTAATGATCTGTTTGTTGTTTTAAGTTATTTATCAAGCCAAGACATAAAACATGATCTAGTTCCATTCTGTTTTTATTATTGGAAATGAAATATCTATGGATTTTGGAGTTTTGGTTGCACAAAAGAAGGCATTTGAAGATCAGGGTTTCCGGCAGCATTTTACAGTGGAGTAAACCCGGCTGGATAAAGAGTGCCCCCATTAACACCAGAAGAAATTATTGCTTTTCTATAAAAAAAAAAAAAAAGAGGCATATTTAGGGCTGGGCAATAAAACAATAATTATCACAATATATTTTTCCTCAATAACAATATAACAAATGTTCAGTAAATGTTTGAATTTGAATTCAAATAAGAATTACAAATGAATTAGCACTTAATTTTTATATTAAAATATTATAATAAATATTGTTGAGGAAGAGAGACTGAAAAAAGATTTACTAATCATATTTGTTGAAAAAAGATTTTATCATAATTGTTTTGAATGTTCCACACTTCATCATGTTCTGACCATAAAGAAAAGTTTAAAACCACAATTAACCATCTGGTTTCTTCAGCTTTCTCTCAGGGGCAAAAATCAGCCTTTAAACTTGAAAGAAATAACAATTTGACATTTATCCTAGGGCTGGACAATAAAACAATAACAATAATTATCGCAATATAATTTTTTTCAATAACAATATAACAAATGTTCAATAAATATTCTATAAATGTTTGATTTGATTCACTTGAATCATACCTGAATTAGGACTTAATTTATTTAATAAGATGTTTAATTTGTTGAGGAAAAAGGACGGAAAAAAGCTTAAAACCACAATTAACCTTCAGGTTTCTTCAACTTCAACGATTTGATACTTATGGCGATAATTATCGATATCGAAAGACATGAAACTTTTTATTGCGATAATATTTTTGGCCCAGCCCTAATTTATCCTGATAATTATCGATATCAAATGATTTTTTTTTTGTTTGTTTGAGGAAAATGAGCAGTAGCACTACCTCGGGACACATACAGTATTTAATGATTAAGGTTTTTTAACCATCCTCTTATAACAACACTGATGGTGAGACTGATGGGTCACATGGTACATTTGCTTAGCACAAATTAATCAGAGCAATTTAGCAGCTTAGTTTTAAAAGGTAAACAGCCTGAACGGTCAACCAGGCAAAAAAAACACCACTGCGCCTACCACCTCCTCTAAGCAGTTTCCCGGGGGGAAACGCTGGGAGATATCACCATAAACTCTGGGAAATTAAGATGGGCATTTTTCACTGTATTTTGACATTTTGTTTGCCAAATGATTAATTGGAGTAATACTCAGCAGATTAAGTGATACAAAAACGAAGAATGAAACTAATTTGGGGCAGTGTGGTTTTTTTAGTGTAAGCTGCCACGGCTTCACCACGACAATGCTGACTCATCTCAGAAAGCATAAAGAACTTGTATGAGTGAGAACAATGGGCCGTATGGTAACTCGTGAGCAAGCTGCTTGGAAGTGAGACAGAAACCAAACTGAGAGTCTCACTGTCCTCAGTGCCAACAGGACTTCTAAAGATATAGTGATGAGCTCTGTAGAGAGGATCCTTTGTGTCTGTGATTAACTTTGACATATTACACAGACCAGTGCTCTATTGTTTTTTTTTATTTTGTTTTAATTATGTCAAAATAATTAAAATGTCAAAAAGCATGTGAAGTTACTCCTAGGAATGGATAATATGATCATTACAGAAGTGAAATGCTGGATCATCTAGGCTCAGCTCTTACTTCTTCCTCTTCCAGGTGAGTAAGGATCTGTCTGTGGAATATGAGCGACTGGTGAACCCAGAGAAGGCCCTGGAGGACTCCAAGCCCCTGAGGATTAAGGAGGAGCCCATGAGTGACATCTCCTTCCCTGTTAGTGAGGAGCCTGAGGCCGACCTGGCCTCTGGGGACCAAGCTCTGCCCATGGGGGTCCTCGGGGCCCACGGCGAGAGGCTAGCTTCAGGCCTGGACGGTGACCATTCTCCTCACACCTCAGGTGAGACCAGCGTTCCCGTTCAAATGCATAACCTGCATATATCTCTGTTATTTCTACGGAGAGGATTGAAGTGTGCAGACTCACTAGATGAAACCTTCGGTGTTCGATGTACTGTGCACTGATGTGGAGGAGATAAAGGTGCTGCTTGTAGTGTTCATCTGCATCAGTAAATCAATGGGTGTGCTGCGTCCAACAGGGAGCATCCAGCGTTCTCTAAACATTACTAGAGAGCTTCCTCATCAGGTCTCTTCCACTGCCCCTGATATGATTGGTTACATTATCCAGATGATATTTTAAAAAAGGACAATTTGCAGAGTGTACCGTTACCATTATCATGTTTATAGATGCAGATACTCTTCCGTTGGCTAATAGGAGTCCCGCTGGCCTGGGTTCTTCCTTACGGTCTCTGTACTTATGTTGTTCCAGTCACTGTGAGAGAGCGGGTCACAGTGAGCAGAAGGTTAGCAGTGGAAATGACTTTGAAAAGGACAAGATGACGAGGCCTTTTCATAACATATATGCATCAGAAAAAACAAGCAGCCCATGCTGACCCCAGGAGGTCTCTCTTTGTGGCCCCAACATATAGTTTCATTTTTGAGAAGGCGCACATCAGCTATAGTGTAGCTACTGTATATGCCTAGTAGCTGTGCTGAAATATGAACTGTGTGAACACTCGGTGGCTATTAAACATAAAACATAGATGGATGCTAAATGTGTTCTTCTCTCTTATAAGGTGGGGCCAACAACTCCCCGTTGTGGCCACAGGTAAAAATTGAACCGCAGGATGGCGAGGACGCCCAGGGGGCCGGCCATCATCATCACCACCACCACCACGGTGTCCTGGGCGGGGATGTGTTCGAGGATGGGGGGCCCATGTCCACCATGAGCGAGTCAGGAGGAGACATGGCGCCTTCTCCCGGAGGCGCGGCGTCAGATGGCAGCTTCACTTCGCATTCGCCCGACTCCCTGATGGGCACCTCGCCCGTCTTCAACCAAAGACCTAAGAAACGGGCGAAGAAGATGTGAGGATGCATTTGCGGATGCAAGACATTCTGAGAAGTGGAATCTGAACTCACCCGCAAGTCTTCCACGTTTAGTTATGTTGCAATGAAAAAACACCAGTCTGACAGAAAGATGTAGTGGTGAAACACACCAGCTGCTCAGCGTAGGACTCATCAGTGGCTGCTGAGACTGCGGCCACTGCATAGACTGACTGAGACATTAATGTTATGAACAAACTGATTTGGGGGGGAAGTAATATTTTGTACTTTTTCATGTTTGTTATGATTATAATTTCTCTCAAAATAGCTGAATATATTGATAGGGTTTATTGTCAAAAGAATAAACATCTTTTAAAGCATCAGTTATATTCATTTGAGTTATTAAGGTTGTTAGGAGGAGGGTTACAGTTAGCCTAATGAATTGAAGAACAGGAAAACTACGAGGTCCAAAAGCAAATTATTTAGTTAAACAGCTTAATAATTCAGCAGAATGGTTTGTTTTCCTCTCTTCACAAGGCTCTTTAGTTTATTTCTCCTCACATACCAATTACTGCCTGTGCCATTCATTACCATTAAAAGATGCTCCACCAAAAAGCAACTTTTTCCTCCTCGTGAACATGCTGTCGCATATAATGATGTATTTTCAACTCCTCGTTTCCCTTCTGCACTGCACTTTACATGTAGCCCAATACAGCGGAAAGATCACACACACACACACACACACACACACACACACACCTGTCAACCTGAAGCCACTCCGCTAAATTAGCATCTGTTTCAGTAATGAGACAAAGCTGTGAATGCAACACCAGAAGCAATTATGGCTTGGTTGTCTGCATCATGAAGGCAACATCAATCCAGCCTTAATGGCAAATTAATTATGGCATGCATAGTTTTGCATGCTGAATGAGCAGGCCTGTCTGAATACATGTGGTTTTCTTCTGTGTGGGCCACTTTCATTTTCACAATTAGGCAGGTAATTGTCCATGCCTTTGGGAAGAGCTGATGGGGTCATATGTATTGATATTTATGGTAGTTTTTTACCCCTTGCCGCTCCTGAAAAAATGCTTCTGATTTATATCGCTGTGTGACCCAGGTGGGAGTTGAAGATGCTGGAAAACAAAATCAGTATTTAGACCTATGAGTGAAACAGCTCCCCCTTGTTGATGCTTATAGGAGTCCTAAATTATTTTCTGCTCAGACATTCTTACTTTAAAACTCCACAGAAGTCGAAATACAGCATCAACAATGACCTCATCCCACTCCCCAACTGCAGTCGCTGCACAAAACAACATACAACATACTGTACCAGATACAATACAAAATACAGTGTTATAGCACACTAACAAAAACAACAAAAAATCTGCTTCAAATACTGTTTTACATAAAAAAATTATATATTGAAATACAAATATTTTTAGCCATTCTAGCTATGGAGCTGCTGCTCAGTTGGTCGACCACTTTGGTCTAGACTGAAATAACTCTGCAAGTTCTCCTGTGGCCCCACCAGCAGGTTCACCTTTGTGGTTTTGCGTAAAATGTCTCAACAACTGAACTGAACTGGATGGATTGCTGTGGAATGTTTGGTAGAGACATTTATGTCCCACTCAGTGTGAACTCTAATGGCTTTGTGATCCCTTCGCAAATATGTAAGCTTTATACCCACTAAACATCAGCAATGCTAGAACTGTCAGTGCAAGCATGTCAGCACGCTGACATTAGCATTTAGCTCAAAGCACTGCTTTGCCCAAGTAGGCCACCGGCTCACCGCGCCGCTAGCTGGCTTTTAATACCTTAAGGGGTATAATGTAGGATTATACACATTGTGTTTTATAAAGTGAGGATTGTGTCGAGGTCCTCAACCTAAACGATGAAACAGATTGTCATTTCCTTCCTAAATGACCCATGTGAGTATTTTCTGATCTGGTGCCCATACTTGAACTCTGTTCAAAGGGAAAGGCTTCATTGGTGGAAATGCTGACAACAACTCAAGGAGGGGCGCCAAGAAACAGAAAGGGATCACTCCACGCCATAAACCACTGGTCTAATCTTCACCAACGCATTGTATTTTACAGGCTTATCAAATGTTTTTGTTTAAACTCTTGATTTGAAAAAGAATTAGTAACCATAGCTGCAGTTGATCGTGCATTACTAATACAAATTTCTTCTTAGAAAGTAAATCTATAGCCTTAAAAATAGAAAAGTTTTCAGTGGGATTAAATAGCTTTTAACACGCAGCCTTGTTATATTGGTGCTGAGGCAATGTGACCCCTCAGTTTGCCAACAGCTGCTGAGTTGCTTTGCGCTGGGGAGAAGAGGTGTAATTACAAAAATGTCAAGATGTTTGTTGAGCAGGGGTCTCTGGGAGCGTGCTCAGAGCCAGAGAAAGGACCCAACAAATGATTAATTACCTTCCTACAACTGACTTCCTCCAAAGTCATTCATTTAGCATGAAATTTAATCTTTCCAGCCTAGTTTTGAGTTTATGGGCTCAGTCAGTTTTACACGATGAGCACGGATGATCCTTCAGGGTGCTCGTTTGTCTGTTTGTGAACAAATCAAATGTAAAGCGGAAATGAGACACTCAGCCTCAAGTAATGACCATAGAATTTCTCACACTTCTATTTATTGTTATCATGTAGGAGATACTGTACATGTGCAGTGGAGACAAATAATCAATCATGAGAATGATCGTATCAACAGAAAGATGAATTGCCAGACATAAGGGATATGGCAGGAGTGGCCCACTTGCAAGCCCTGGCTGGCCCCTGTATGAAAGTTAAAGTAAGGCAACTTACATCACTCAAATACTTATACTTTCCTTTACAATTCTACTCCACTATATATCAGAGGGTCATATACTTTTTAACTTCTCATTAATACTGTATGCATATGTACTTTCAGATTAAAATTATACATAAAAATATGTGATTATGTTGTATAATACAATGCATTGTTAAAGATAAAACCTGTTGTTTCTAACCTTTGGCTTGTGACCCTTTACAAAGAATCAGTGTCCACTTGTTCACTTTAACTTGACATTGATGGAAAATGTCATGAGGTCAAGGTCAAAAATGTGAAGGAGAATTCATAAGGACTTATAAAGACAACCACTTATAAAGACAACCACAGTATTAAGAGAATCCCACTGTGCTTACAGTATGGTTTAAAAAAAACAAAAACAAATTTATTTACAACCCAAGGAAGATAAGTACAATGACAAACTCAGTGCTGTACAAATAAGGTTTCCTGTCCAAAACAGAATCACACTTCCAAAGAAAAGATATTTTCAGTTTATACATAGGGTACATTAACCACCAATTACTTATAGGAAGTAACAACAAATAGATATTGTTGAAAATAAAAAGCAGAGAAGAAGTAAGAAAAGTTGAGCCATTAAAGTAAAAATTAAATAAAAAATTGGGAATTGATCAGTCACAAGCTTCAGAAACCACCTCCCCCTACACCTTCCCAACATTGGAATATTAGGGTTGTGTCTGTTACATCTCTCTGTGTGGAGGTGAGGAAGTAAGGAAGGTTCGAACTTCCTGCTCTATTTCTCTTTTCATCTTTAATGCAACACTAATTTTCTTGCATATTGAGTGCTCCCATTTAAACATAGTATGCACAAGTTTGTTTTGCTGATAATACATCTGTATTTCTGAGGAGTTTGTATGGAATATTTTTACATGGTTGTATTGGTAGTGAGTAGCCTACTTCTTCCGCCACTGTGGTACACAACAATTAATTCTTAGTCTAGATAAATCTGAGGGGTTGTGAGATGATAAACTGAGAGCAAAGCAGAACAAATGTATTTCTACTACATGAAAATTATGTGTATTTTTTCTGACTTTTTTGAAGTTTTACATCTCCTGCGAAGTATTCAGATCACGCAGTCCAAGGAGCCAAAATACTCTTTGTTTGTACTGGCCACCACTTTAATTAAGCGTTCACTGGGGAGGCAGGAGCTGCTCAATGTGGGACACCCAGGGCAAAATAGTCAATTTCCATGTAGCCCTCTGTAATGGTTTTCAAATGATAGCTTTCATCTTTATAAAATAAAGTCGACTCTAAAAATGGAGCCACTCCACACCAATCTATTTTACTGGAAACAATACTGGTCTTAGAAATGACTCTTGGCAGTTCATCAGTGTTCCATCGGAGGGCAGTCTTGTGCTACATACAAACTGTAGCTGGACTGTGGCCTCCACTTCAAATGCAGGATTTAGCATTCTCACAGTTGCCACAGAGACCTGGACACTCCCAAGAGCAAGGCAATAGTTTCATGGCATCAGAATGTGAAGTCACCAAAGACATACAATTTTTCAACATATGGCAATAATTAGCCTGCTGCTGCCACTGCATGGCCATGCACCTGAATGTCAGGATCGGGATTTATCTAAGAAACCAAATGTAATATCCTACCAAACAATGAGCATCAGATACGTCCCTCATCAAGCCAGAAAAAAATATTCCTTCAGGCCTGTCACTTTTCAGGATTTTCCCCACTACACTGTGTTGTCAGTTTTTGATCTTAACATGCATTATATTTTCTGAAAGGTGCACTTAAAATTCAGCTTTCAGTCTTTAATTGCGTGTCAGTCATGGCAGTCAGTTGTTGAGTTGATGTTTTCTCAGATCTGCCTTTGCAGCATGACGGTAACCAATTAGGGGGCAGTGCCTGCATTTAGCTGGCAGCAAACTCATCAGTGGCAGCACCGCCATTTTCTCATTCCATTCCACCACAACTGATATGGCTGCTGGTAATGTATTTACATCAGGCGCTGAAAGCACTTTAGATGATGGTACTGATATCGTAAAGAATCCTTGAATCCCTCAGCGCACAATCTACTGTAAAGTACAAGCTCTTAGTGTTTGTATTCATTAAAGTGGTTTAAAATTAAACAGGCCTGAAATTGCCTTGGCATGGGTAACAGAGCTAAAATGCTGCTGTTTCATTTGTATACAAAAGGGGAATGTTTTTGTTCTTTTTGTATTAGATTATCACACAAACATAAGTAACAGAAATGAAAGAAAAGAAAAGTTAAAACAACAACAAAGTACTTCATGAAAAAAAGTTAATACACTTCTATTAGTATTCTTTTTCTTACCTCTATTTGGGAGATGATCAAGCTCAGGATTTTGGAGTCAGGCTTGGGGTCATAACTTGAGCCCATTTTATTCTATATTTATTTACCTTTTGGAAAACTAGCACCATTACAAGTATGCCAAATAAGCTATTAGCAGTTCCTGTTTGCTATGTACCCATGGATGAACCAAGAACTATCACTGGATTACTTTGATACTGAAGAAAACTTAAAAAACATGATTCTCAAGCAAGTTCTGGAGTTATAAGGAG